TGGTCACTTTGTGTTTGTATTCAGGTCTAGATCATAGACTGCATCACATGTTTAAACTAATCTGCAAACAAAAAGACCACTGTAACCGTGGATTTGCCACCGATGCAACATAGACAAAAAAAGCCCCACTTCCACTGGCGTGCCTTTATGTAGTTCAGCTCGGATCGGCCTCAGCTGAATGTAAGTAAGTAAACTTTTATTTATAAAGCAACTTTCCCAGAAATATATTCACAAGGTGCTGTACAATCATTAACAGTATAAAAATTGTGAAAAAATAAAATGAAACAGAAAAACATAATTACACATAAGCAACGAAAACTGAACATCAAATCAGGAATTAATTTCTAAAATTGTAAATCAAGGTAAATAACTTGTGTGATAATTTGTCAAATGCATTTTATCATTTGTATGCAGACGACATGGTAATTTACTTCATAGTTTTTACAACCTGCTTTTAATATAGTTCAAACTCGTCTACATGCTCTGAAGCTGGTTCTAAATGTGGACAAGACAAATGCGATGGTTTTCTCACACTCAAGAAAATTAACAGCAACCCAACTATTGCTTACCACTGCTCTATACTGTAGGTGCACAAATAGAGTTTGTTACTATAAATACCTTGTTTAATTTTAGATAAAGAGCTTTCTTTTAAAAAGCACACAGCAAACTTGTTACGAACTATGAGAATGAAGAGTGGGTTTTATTATCGTAATGGATCCTGTTTTTCTCTCAAAGCTAGAAGAAAATTGGTATCAGCAGCCTTCTTAGATGGTGGAGATGTTTTATTTATGAACGTTTCAACCAAACCCCTTCAGTCCCTGAGTTCTGTCTGTCTTTGTGCTTTAAGGTTTGTAACAGGCTGCAGARGACTCACACATCATTGTGCSTTGGATGTAAAGCTGATCCTTTAAGTGTGCAGAGATACATGATGCTACTGATTTATAAAACTCTACTCGGCTTGGCTTCGACTTATTTAAACTCTCTTAAAACATYKTTRACTGCCCATTCTTTACGCTCCAACAATATCTTTCTTTTACATGTTCCATGTGTTGGAACAGAAAAAAGAAGCAAACTTTCAGTGTTCTGGCTCTTGTAGCGTGGAATCAGCTCCAGGCTGAACTCAACGTCAGATTTTATTTCATCAGAATTATTTCAAGGGTCTGAAAAACAAGCAAAGTGATTCTGTTCCTCAGTGTCATCACTTTTAAACTGTAACGTGTTTTTAACTTGTCTTTATGTTTTAATTGGTTTTATTTTGTCTAACCAGGTTGTGTTGCAGATTCTGCCCAGGTCCCTCTTATAAATGAGATCTGGACCTCAGTGGGGTTTTACCTGGTTAAAAGGAATCAAT